CGCCATCCCCCAAATGTAGCTTTGAGAAAATTCTCTAGAAGTTAAAAACACCCAAGAGAATAGGCTTCTGATCAATGTCACTATTTCAGGAGGTAAACAATCTATTAACTATTAGCAATATTCTAAAATCCAGTTCTCAACACTAGGAGTACTGTAATGAAATAATTAAGTTTTCAAATTATTGCTGAATTGTTGCACTTGAAAACTTACTGATTGAATTGGGCACGTGCGAGATCAACCATCCGTGTTTTCATTATTCCCCCTGTCAATGAAATGCAATATCTTTTTTTAATGTTCCAATACCATGTACCAACCAAACTACTCATGTACTTTTGTAAAAATTTTTTCCTCAAATTTTGGAAATATATTATTATCTTTGCGTGGGCTTCTGGCCTCACCACACTCCACCAACTTTCTTGGAAATTCCGCAGGTAGTCTTCATATCCGCAATGAATGCCCTACGTGAGTAATGTTACGTTAACAGTTACTCGCGAAGCTTTTAATCGAAAGAAGCCTGCTAACACGGATTTTCTCAGCTAGCTTGTGGATCATAGGCAGACGATGGTAAAGAGTGGAGTTTAACTAAGTCCTGAATACTACCCAGTAGATGGGGAATTCCAGATAATTGTGAATCATGGATTGGGGAAAAGTTTTGCCTGTTGCGAAATGGGTCTGGCTTCGCGATTAAAAATGTTTCGACAGTTAGCCATGGGCGGTCTGGGAAAATTATTCTCCGTGGCCCCACCACATTACTGACAGAGATCAAGTGGAACTACTTCGATCCGGAGTTTTGTCTGCAACAGTGAGAGTCAGGGTGGACAGCGAATCGCGTTGGCACACAGTAACATGGAGCGGACTCCTTGGTGGACACCGCAGGTATGTCATACTGTTGTTTCCAAAAAAGCAACAGGACGAATATGCTAAGTAGGTGGAGCCCTTCCAGAAAGTGTTTCAGTGAGGTGCATGAGTCTGGTATTAAAGTTTTTTAGGGTGAAAAGTAAGAAAATGTACAATGAATTATTGGTAGCAAATGACATTTTGATACCACACTTTTGGTATGATGTTCTGGGAAACCATTTGAAGATTCTGGGAAGTCGGAACGAACTGCAAGTCATCAAAAACCGAAACTGAAAGATGTTTGCTGCCAAAGTGGAATAGCTACTCTTTAGAGATGGAATGATATTTTTAAGACCTAAACCCACACATGGCGGACTCAGATGTATCCTACTCAGAACCTATCTACACGGAGACTAATCTCACCATGGAGGAAGGTCTAAAAGCTATCGCCAGCTTGTATGATATATTGGAAAGTTTCCATTCTGTGGATGAAGGATAGTCAGAAGAAATGCAAAAAAAAGCTCTAATTGGTGCTCCTGGTTGCATAGGGTGTGTAGGCAGGTATGGAATATGGAAAAGTTTCCCTTGAAATAGCAGGACGTTGAGATGGTTCCTCCTTTTTAATAGGAACTCCAATGCCAACGACTGTAGAATCTCCTCAGCGCACTTAGTAAGGTCTATGTCAGAGTACTCTCGGGTAAAGCTGAAGAAGTCATTAGCGAAGCCACGAAATATGAACAGTACGTATATCTAGAAAGGCACTGCACCGCAGACTGACTCTTAACTCTACACCAGATACTTTGGAGGTATCGCCAAGTATGTTTACAGGTGTTTCGTGAATCACAAAAAAGTTTCACCTCAGTTCATTATCATTTTCTACTTTCATAACGAGGTATGCCTCTACGAAAAGCTTATTTCTGTTGCTCATCAGGCAAATCCCTTGGGAAATAAATTTATTTTTGTTTCTGAATGAGATACAGGGAGGCTCAAATAAACCGAACTATTGACTTCAATAATTCAGTGGCCGATTCGGTAGGACATGAAAAATTATTTGAAAACGTATCGTCCCCAATAAATATGAACCCCAAAAATATTTTGGAAATTTGACGTTTGACATTTGAGCTCCGTGCGTCAACGGTCACATTTTTGCCAAGTTTCAGCTTTTCATTTGTATCCGTTTGATTGAAGCAAAGAGAACCATTTGAAAACATGTTCCCCAAAAGTTGTGCCCCTTTGATATGAATCACCAAATTGAACTTTTTCTGAACTTAGCATGTGAATATCTACTAATGTCAGTCAGCTACTCAAAATCATCATTCTAATATATATAGACGATCGTGACTGACTGACTGACGCTAATTCTAACCATGTTCAAGAGAAGTTAGATATCTAAAACTTGGTACACATGTAGCGAGTGGGATACAAAGTTCAGACAAAATCCGACTTTGGAGGTCCATGCCTTGGGGGTGCACATTTAGGGGGGAAACGTTTTTCTTAAATACATTTTGTGACAGATGAGGATGGCATTCAGAAAGTCATCTGGATGTCCTGGGTTTGGTGGTGTAGTGGTAGCACACCTGACCAAAAATCAAGATACCCGCGTTTATTTCCCGGTCGATCCTTGGCGTTCTAACGGCCTATTATGTCATCCAAGTCGCGTTACTCGTGCCCCCTCCATAACAATATTTTTTCTCAAGTAAAATGGAAAGACATGGAGAGCTGAAACTTGGCATGGACATGCCAACCTAGACGATGAGTTCAAGAAAAATGTAAAATATAAGATCCATGCGATGGTGGGGCATATTTTAAGGAGTCAACGAGTTAACACATTTTTTTCCCAGAAGTATTCAGCTGATGTGGTAAGACGAAATTTGGTACATAACTACCTATTGGAATACTGCGTGTAGGAAAATTTCTGATTTCGGAAGTTAACGCCCTGGGGGCACAAATTTCAAATTGAGGTGTTTTCAAATAATGTTTTTGCATTAGATGAACACGGATAGCTGAAACTTTGCATATATAGGACTACTGAGACATGGAGTTAAAGGAAAATGTTAAGTCTTGATGCATCGCCTTGGAATTTTTTCGAGGGGCGATGTTTAAAAATAAATTTTGTTGTGGACAGAAATGAAAAGATGGAACTTGGCATACGTATATGTGACGTTATATTATTGAGTTGAAGGAGTATTCAGCTTTCACGGTTCATCCCCTCTGGGCTTTGGGGTGGGTCGGCTATTCCAAACATGCTTTTTCACCAGCGAAAAGGGAAAACAAATGAGGTTGAAACTTTGTGGGTATGTAGTTCTCTTAGGATTGATTTCGGTATTGAAAAAAAGATACTTTTCGGTTAAAACGCCTCAGGGCGCATAAATTGCAAAAGGCGCATTTTCCCGAATTTTCTGATCCAGCAAAACAGATGGCGCATGAACGTTTAAACTTGTTAAAGTACCTGATGGATAGCTGAATAAAAAAATTGCTTCATTACACTTCATATAGAAATAAAACTAGAAATAAACTAGGCACGCTAGAAATAAAAGAGGCAATGATTTTGATAAAAATCAAGAATTTCGTACCCATGTGTCACGTATTCCAATAATACGTATTACTTATTATACGCGTTTTCTATTTCGCAAAAAAATAATTAATCACCAACCTAGTTAATTGAGCCCCGAAGGCGCGACCATTGCGAGTATTGCAAGTATACTGGGTGGGGACGCCATTCAGCTATTTACTAAGTCTAGATATTTATTCAGAAGTAATATTTGTAGAATTTTGGAATTTTTTACATGGGTTAATTGGTCTTTCTGCTACATCATGGTCAATTTTCACACAAAATGGCCTTCTCTGGCCTCAATGACACGCTCCAGACGATCTACAAATGCCGTGATGCAGTCCGAAACGAAGTCCATGGACATCTTGACCTACTCCTTCTGGATGGCAGATATCAGGGCTTCGATTTTGGTATGGTTGATGCGGCCAACCTTGCTCTCGAGGTTGGACCGCACATTGAAGTCCTTGGGTTTCATATCCGGACTTGAGGGTGGCCACATTTCCTTGGGTAGGAAGTCCGGGAATTCCTTTTCAAACAGTTTTGAGTCTTGTTTGCAGTGTGAGCTGGAGCTCCGTCCTGCTGGAAGATCCAGTCATTGTTTCTGAATTTCATCTTGGCCTAGTCCTTCATGGGGTTCTGTAGGACATGCTGAAGGTACCAATCGGTCGTCACCTTGACGCCAGGTGGGATGAACACAAGGGAGGTCTTCCTGGACATGCTGATCTCGGCCCAGACCATGATTCCGGCAGGGTGATTTCTCTTCAGGTGGAATTTTTCATTTCCAGGGATGGCCTTGATGTTCTTGGCCACCACCCTGTTGTTCCTGAGATTCTGGACAGCTTCAACTATGAGCAGTTTCTCGTCTGTCACGAACTTGCTAAGATCCCCTTTTTTCAGCCTGCTCAGTAGCTTTCGGGAACAATCCAGCCTCTTCTGCTTCTGGACATCAGTCAGGAGCTGCCGCTTTTGTATGGAGTAGGACTTTGTATCCAGATCCTCATGCAAGATGTCCCACACTGTCTTGGGATCAATGACGGCCTCCCTGGCCATCTTCCTGAAGGACCTGTGTGGGTTGAAGGCAATCTTTTTCCGGATGCTCTTGATTATCTCTGGCATGCGGACGGTCCTCTTTTTCACACCCCTGGGCCTGGGCAGACCACTGCCATACCTCGCATAACGGTTAATGGTCTTATAGACCATGTTTGTGGTGACCTTCAGGTTCTTCAATTCCTTCATGAGGTCCACTGGACGGTTTCCGGCCTTGTACCTCTCCATAACGAGGTCGTAGATCTCAGTCATCGTGAGGCAGATTCTTGTCAATCCAACTTGATTTGTTTACAAATGGCTAACCCTACCATTAAAAATTATTATAGGAATATTTAAAAAAATGTCACGCAACCTTACGCATCCATATTAAAAATAGCCGATTGACGTCCCCACCCAGTATAATAGAAGTATGATCTTTTATTTACTCAGCTATCCATCAGGTACTTCTTTGCCAAGTTTAAACTTTCATGCGCCCTCTACTTGATCAGAAAATTCGTGAAAATACGCTTTTTGCAATGTATGTGCCTTGAGCCGTTTCAAGCAAAAAGGACCTTTTTTTTTACCGAATACCACCCTCTGTGAACTACAGGCCCACAAAGTTTCAATATAATACTTTTGCTCTTTTCGCTGGTGAAAAAACATGTTTGGAAAAGCCGACGCATCCAAAAGCTATGCCCGGAACGGATGGACTATGAAAGCTGAATACTCCCTCAGTTCAGTAATATTATGTCACATATACGTGTGTCAAGTTTCACCTTTCCATTTCTGTCCAATTCGCCACGACTATTTTTTTCATCAAAACATCGACCCCCGAAAAAATTCTCCAAAGGGATGTATCGAGACTTAACATTTTCCTTTACCTCCTTGTCTCAGCAGTCACATTCATGATATATTAGATGGATAGATAGATTGATATATAATTTAATATCTGCTGAAAATAGTTGTTTCTTATGTGCCGAGAAGCATGCTCAAATAGAAGCACTTCAGCCTGATTTACAGCATATTAAAATCACTGGCTTGGTTTTTTTCTTTTAGCCACCCTATTCTGTAAAGAATGAAAGCATACAGATTTCCACCTGTCAGAGCGATGTCCGCCCGAGAAAAAATTATCTGGCTCGAAATACTTGTGTGTGAACGGCCAGTTGGACTTCAACTGAGGAGGACGACTATTTGGTTTCAAATCCAGCACTTAGGCACGTGGTTGTTCAACCAGATGGATAAGGGATCGATGTTTTTGAAGCTGTGCTGCAATATACCGTGCAATGATAGGCTCAAATTTGTAATATGTTCTTCTGTCCTCATCGTTAACAAAAGCTGATGCCTTAGCCTAATTCATTGTTATGTTGATTTCTCCTCTTCTGACGTGGCTTGAATTTTCTTGGACCTAATGTTTGTGCGTTGATAAAATTCAGAAAATTCGGCATCTTCATTAATGGATTATTTGATTTTTTCTTCTGCTTCCTTTTGGCGAAAAGAAAGCTTCATCATACATTTTCTCTGATCTACAAATATGCAAAAATAATTGACTTCTTATTTCAACTATCTTTGATGCGAAACAAACAACAACTGAGCAAATATGCATTATGGACGGATAATTAGCACCAAAAATTCATGTTGAAGCCGCGATGCCATCTTCAGCTGGTCATCCAGGATAGACGATAGCAGCGAGGCCCTTCGGAAGTAATGTTACATCATCAATCTCAGAAAAAACGCGATGAAAAAAATTAGGATGTCGAAGTTTTATTTCGTTCATGTTTTTTGCTTCAATGTTTCATCTTCGAATTTTTTCTTTTCCATGTTTCGTAGTTTCGACGTTTTGGTGACGATGTTCTGACGTGATACCCTTTTCTTGCACCGTGAAATATACAGTGCAAAAGTTTCTGACCCATAGTGCAAGAAGTGATGCTAAAACCGATGCAGGTTGCAGTGAAGACATCCTACCTATATACATGAGCTACGGGTCTGCAAAGACCAAGAAGATCTGCCTCTGTGCCTGGGTTGATCTGGGATGATGCAGACGGAGCCTCTTGCCACACAGGAGGCTTCACGTTCTTAGCCATTGCAAAGACTGACGTTTGAGACAATAAGAGGTTGAACAAAGAACTGTGCGGAGCATCTCGAAAAAATGTGGTATACGTTCCCGTAAAGTGTTTTGCATGGGTCCCATCCCTCTTACCCTGCGTCCATCATTACTAGGCTTCTAAAAGAAGAAAGGAACCAGAACGACAAATGTCAATCGTCGATTCCTCTAAAGCTTCAGGACGTAAATCCGAGGTTCCCAAGGCTGGGTAAAATCATTTGTATTGATAAAGGAGTTAGTTCCTGAAGTGCTCCTGACTATGTGGAGTGCGAATTAGGCAATCTATGCACATTAGACTCGTCTAAATCTTCATTTCAATGGCTCAGAAAAATTCGTAACATATTGTATATTAGCAGGCACATTGAAGGTTATGGTTTTTAATGATTTATTGATTTATTATTATTATTATTATTATTATTATTATTATTATTATTATTATTATTATTATTATTATTATTATTATTTTTGCAATTTAACTACGCTTGGAAAAGAAAGTAAACATGTTCCTAAAGCGCAGGGAATGGGATTAGAGAGGAACACTTCAGAAAGTAATGTAAAACTTAGTCGTGTAAATGTACAGCAAAAATTGGTGGATATTTTGAACATCTTATGCAGTCAGGCAAAATACTTGATGAATGTCTGAACAATGTATAGTTGACTGTGTTTCTATTTGCAGTAATACAAAAGTTATGACTTTTTAAAATGTGTTATTTTTTGTGGTCCACCCTGTAGAGCTTGGAAAATAATAGACTTGCGCTTTTAAGATTCACCGCGGCATTACTGAAGTGCACTCACATTGTCTTCGAAGATCGTCAGCTTGAATTGCCCGGTTCGTAGAATTTAGGACTTTGAGAAGCTTTTCAAAGTTCCTTGAATTCATATTATTTACAAGGTTCCCCAGAAGACAGACGTTTCTCTCATATGTCATTTGCTTCAAATGCCTTCTGTCCTCCAAAGAAAGAAGTCCTGAGTTGAGCAATTCCAAGTGCACCATTCTATCTGCCAAGCATTCCATCATGGCTCTCCAATTCCTCTCTATGCTTAATAGCCCTCTCAATAGTATCGATGGCTCAGCTCTCTCCTCTATATACGAAATAAAAAATAAAGCATATGTAGACGTGAAGTACCTTGTCCCTAAACTCTAAGAACCCATTTGCCCGTGTATTGCTAAAGATACGCTTTTTAAAAGGCTTAAAAAAATAACCCTCGAAAAGGTTTTAATGTCATGCTTATAAGGACACCTCTACTTGCGATGCGCTCAAATGCAAAATAACTAGCCACTCTAAAAACCATGCTATGGTACCAACTTCAAAGACAATATCTTGGGCTCAAATGAGTTTGCCGTGTTTTCGCATCAAAATCACTTTCGTCCTTTAACTTTCTCTTCTTCCAGTCGCAATTCCAAGTATTTAAACCTTAAGGAATATCAGATTTCTAAATCAAAGTTGATCTCCTTGTTATGTAAACAGGCTCGTATCGTAGCGTAGTTATTACTTACTAGCAAGTTTGTTTGCCCTTCGGGCAAACAAACTGGATAAAACCGGATGGGACTGGATAAAAGTGCCCAAATGGGTTTTAACGAAAACTTTATTTCTTCTGAAATGTGGACTCAGGGAACTCCATGCCACTCAGTTTCAGCCTTCCTCTTTTTGCTGGCAGAAAAAAAAATGCAATTGGAAAAGCGACACTCCCTAAAGCAGTGCTCTGATTATATGCACACCAAAAGTTGAAATTTTCCTTAAATCAACATCACGTCCGTTATGCGGGCGCAAGCTGCTATTTTCCTATTTCTGCCTGATTCACTGGGATATGAGAAATTCTGTGAAAACGTTACGTCCCCAAGAGATATGCCCCCCCCCCCCAAAACGTTTTGGAAATTTGACATTTGATATATGAGCTCAGTGCCTCCCCAGTCACGTTCTTGCCGTTACAGCTTCCCATATGTCTTCGTTTGATTGAAGCATAGAGAACTATTTGAAAATACTGTATGTTCTCTGAAAAGGTATCCCCCTATGACATGTATCACCAAATTATAATTTCTCCTGAACTCAGCGTGCGAATAGCGACTTAGCAACTCATGACCCTCTATATATAATAAAAGTATAAATTTTTATTTACTCAGTAATCCATCAGGTTCTTTTTTTGCAAGTTTAAAATTTCTAGCGCACTCTGTTTTGCTGGATCGAGAAAATACGCCTTTTGCAATATATGTGCCTTCAGGCGTTTTGACCGAAAGGTACAATTTTCAACCATATTCGTTTCACCAGCTCAATACGCAGGGGCGAAAAAAAAATTACGTGAAAACGTCGGCCCATAAAAAAATGCCCCACAGAGCATGGATCTTACAGTTTTCATTTTTCCTGAACTCTTCGTCTAAGTAGACATGTCCGTGGCAGGTTCCAGGTTTCCACGTCTCTTCGTTTTACTAAAGCAAAAATGTTGCTATAAAGGGGTACGCGACTTGGAAAGCATAAGAGGCCGAAAGAAAGCCACGGAACGGCTGGGAATCGAACCCGGGCCTCCTTATTGCTGGTCAGGTGTGCTACCATTACACCACCGAATCCGAGACGCCCAGTCATCCCTCTCGATGCCATCCTAATCCGTCACGATATACTGTATATATTTAGGAACTTCTCCCCTCTAAAAATGTGTACCGCAGGGCATGTACCTCCAAAGTCGGATTTTTTCTGAACTCTGCATCCCAGTCGGTACATGTGTACCAAGTTTCAGATTTCTAACTTCTCTGGAACATTGTTAGAATTAGCGTCAGTCAGTCAGTCACGATCGTCCATATGTTTAGATTCAATTTATGTTCAATGTGTTTACGCGCGTTTGCCGAATTCTCTTTTTTACGTGAGAGCCTGAGGATGTGGTATAGACCCTTCAGTTACAAATTTCTTCATCAGGGGAAGCATCTTTCCTATCAACACATAACATTGAAACAACATGTATTCAATGTTGATTTAACACCCGGATTTTGAATCCACATTGAATCGATGTTGATTGAATGTTATGTGCTACTAAGGTTACTGTCTAACAACAGTCATGGAGGCTTTCCAGCTCAAGTGGTCAAACTCAAAAAAATTCTGTCGCGCTTCAAATTTCGATTTCCTAGGGAAATTTTATGCACGTTGGCATCCAATACCTAAGGAAATATGCACCTTTCGGCTCTCTGGCTCTAACGGTTTTCGAGACATTTAGTCGCAAACTTAGTCTCCTAGAGGAAAATTGGCATTTGGGGTTTTATCGCTATCTTTAATCCTTTTCGAGCTTGGAAAGCGTATTTGGACTGTAATTAAAACTGAGACAGTGCAGAATCACATTATTAAATGTATCTTGTACTACGTGGAACATAAATTGAGTTACACAATTTCCAAATTTTGTGAATATTTCCTAATGTTGCACGCGAATTTTGAGCACTAGGATCCATGGTAATACAGTGAGATTTTACAACATTCAAGACTAATGCAATGGCAATGTTAGGAACTGATTTTCAACATCCTACTTCGTTTGAAAAAAATTCAAATTAAATTTGAAGCAGGAATTTGCCCCTTTTTTGTCCAGAAGCGAGAAATCTGAAATTGGGAACACATGTCCCTTTGGGATGTAAAGTTGAGAAAAAATCATACTTTGGATTCATATGCCCGGGGCACTCACTTTTTTTGGGGAGGAGAGATGCTTCTAATGAAATATATTTGCTTCAGTCGAACAGAGAGACATGGAATGCTGAAACTTGCCATGGACGTGCCTAATGAGACACTCAGTCCATAAGAACATGCCAACTTTCATTTTGCATGCCATGATGGCATATTTTTGTGGGTGACGTTTAGCAAAACATATATTTCTCCTACCGAATTTGGAAGAGATTGAAAGGCGAAACTTGATACATGAGTACGTATTGGAACTTGAATTCATAAATTTTCAGACTTTGAAGGACAATGCCATGGGGGCACAGGTTTCAGAGGGAGATGATTTCAAATATATATTTTTTGATATAGTCAAACGGAGAAACATGGGAAGCTGAAATCTATCGTGGACGTGATTGCTGGAGTTCTGAGTTCAGGAAAATTTTCAAGTTTTGGATAAATGCCCTGGGGGATCATCTTTTAGGAGGTCACGTTTTCAAATATTTGTTGTCATATGGAATAGTTAAAAAAAAGTTGGCACACTCACTATCACTTACGTGATAGTGAGTTCAGTAAATTTCAATTTTTGTGGTGCATACCATCAGGGTAGTTATTTTCCGAATTGGCTTTTCGAAAGATAGATTTCCACCAGCAAAAAGAGGAAACGGATAAGACGGAGACTTGGAAGCCACGTAGTTCTTCAGTACTGATGTCAGTAAAAATGCTAATTATTAGGTAAAACCTCTCAAGGAAATTTTCTGCAAGAGGCTCATTTTCTAAAATCCTTTCTGATTCAATGAAAGAGATCTGAAGAAATTTGAAACTTTTGAACAGTTAAAAAATGAAAGTTGAATAATCGGAATAAATATTACTATGAAAATATAATTTCGCTCTCTTGTGGGACCCATTTTGACAGGCAAAAATATAATTTTCCTTCGGTAGTCTGAATAGAGATAAGCTTTAGCAAGGAAGTTTTGGGATGTGGAAACAGAAGAAGTTGCTCCATATTTTCTATTTTTGGCATACGGAGCACCGAAATAAGGGGAAAATCTAGAGTAAGAGGCGGGAAGGTACTGGTAACATATGCAAACATTTAAATCATAGGCCATAGATGTGTAAACCTCACTCTTATAAGTTATTGAATGCATACACAGCAACTCCAGATGTGAAATTCCATTCATTATTCCCTTGAAGCAGATAATGTGGTAATTACTGAAGAAGAACCAGAAATGTTGTAGCAGTCGAAAACAGAATCCCCTATGATCTTTTTATAAAAACCCTTTTAAATTTGTTAGTTGCATATGTTATGAATGATGTGGTATTTGAAGGTACTTCATTATTCTTAGTAGCTTGCTGTTTAAAAAAAATAAATTGTCCATTGCCTGCAAAGTAGTGAAAGTTCTGATTGGTGCAAGAAATCAGGCCTTCAAGAAAACATATAGTGGCCTTTGATGAATTGATGAATTTTTAAAATGAAGTTTGAGGCCGAAAGCAAGGTGAAGTTTTACGTTCAGTTCCCCTAACCAATCGCAAAGCAATTCGATAGCTTGTTGAGGTCGCTCACAAGTTCAACCATGGTCAGAATCTCGCTTAGCATGGCATGGCAACCATCGATACTGATATCAATGCATCGAAATGTTGTGATAATGATATGATTAAACACACTTCTGGTATGAATACAAAAATTCAAACATCTGACGTAAATGATATGAAGGCGGGTTCCTGCGCGGTATGCATTTCTGATAGGAATTAGACTCTACCACCTGGTCCTCAGTAACATTATGGTACCCATGAGTCTCTGTTCCATTGTCCGGAACAAAGAAAACATTTAGAGACTGGGGAAAATAAGGAAAATTGGGGTAAAAAAAAAGTCTAGATTATGAACAGGCAAGGCGCTCCCACGGCCTTAGCTCAGGGCTGCATTGTGAAGATGCAGTGAGTTCCGAGTCAGAACAGGCACAACTTTTTCTTCCTTTAGTTTTTTATTACTTTCATTTATTTAAGACTATGGGTGACGTCATACCATATACTCCGCTAATTCTCGTAAGTATCGTATGTCGGCACGTGACATGGAGAAGAATCTGAGCTAAATATGCCAAAGGCACCTTATCCTAGGCTTCAATCGTATTTCAGGCGTAGGAGGCGTATTTGAAAGGGATGAACAATAAAAATATTTGCTTTGAATAAGAAAGTCTCTGCCAGAATCATAATTAAAGCATCATTTGTAAGGAGTTGAAAGACGCTCCAGAGACGTTCGAGCCTACGCCCGTATACCGTCGTCATTGATTTCCGCCCGGGTTAATTTCCGCTTGATTTCGGTCTACGAAAGAAAAAGAATAAATAAATACATAAATCACCATATTATGTATTTTAACATGTAATACGAACTGCAAAACGTCACATGGATGAGTTTTCGTCATTTGTAAATTACCGGTAACATTACCGATAAGCGACAACAATGTATTTACCTACAAATCGGTAACGTTACGGTAATGTTACTGCCACTCACAACCCTAGAGACTACATATTGTATTGATGGGATGGGGAGGTCGTAAAAAGGGGAAAAGTTGAGTTCAGAAAAGTTTCTTTTCCAAGATCATTTCCCCAAAATTCCCTTCTGTCAACATTATTGCTCTCACTTGTCACCATCGGCATTGACACTAATCTTTTGAACCTCATTACCTTTTGACTCTTTAATAGTGTACCGCGTGTACAAGGATTCAGGGAGGAAAACCCTTTGAGCAAATATTTTCAGGAATGACTTTACCCGCTATAGAAGGTGACCATTCTTGAGACATCCCCCCCATTGAGAAGTGGCCGGAATGTATTTTCATTACCCTTAGACGAAGTGCAGGCCGTGCAATGGAAATATCCAGTCTTCACCTCCTAATAAAAAGTGTACTTAAAATATTATTGGAGAGTTCCTACACGTCCGGTTTTGGAAATTGAATGAGCCAATAGGGTGCATCCGATGCTTCAGGGTGTCCCTGCTATAAGACCATCTGACGGTTGCAGGAGGGTCACCCTTTGTCCTGCGAAAGGAAAAACGTAATCTGTTTCGTTAAGGAGTGCTTCTAGAACTCAATAACGCTTGCCCACACGCAGCCACCATCACTTCGGGCGCCATCAATAAACTGGTCCGGGACTTCGTGCAGCATCTTCTTTAGAACCCAAAATTAACCTCCAATGACTACTTTTGTTTCTTAAATATAAATGCCCTTCCCCGTGGTCGTAGGCTTCAGAGTCATAGTGTACTGAGTCTTCATTTTCAGGCATTTCAAAGAGATACCCAGAGTTGAAGTAGCATCAGCTACTCTCCAGATCAGTCAATAACAATATCAGAATATGTGCACTTTCCTAGGTCATTCGGTTATAAGGCTCAACAAAGTTGACGCGATATGAATAAAAAGCAATCAAGTGAAGGAGGAAAACCTCTCGCGATACTTCCTTTAAAGTGAGCTCGAGATCATCCAAGGGTGCTATTTTCTGAGGGAGTCGCATATGTTCATATGCTATCAGTATTACCGAGGTCGAGTTATTGTAACAATTTTCACAGAAAAGTTTAAAAAGTACTTACATGGCTCCACTAATGAAGCTAACACCATTTGCAAAAATTATCTTCATAAAATTATTTCATGAATTATATTACAAATTATATGTAGAATATTTCATAAACTAATGCACCTGAAAGGACGATATAATAAAAAAAACTCTCTCATTGCAAGCATCCTTGAATTACGTTCTGAAATCATGAGCAGCTTCATGGTGCTATGTGCATCCCAATCACACGACTGGAGTGAAACACATCAAGTAAAGCAACATATTTGTACTGTTATTACTGACCTTACTGCTACCTTACCAGAATCCTCCAGCTTCCTGATGATATCATCTCTTCCCAATTCCTGCAGTATCATTTGAAGAGATGTCAGTGCCTGGTGGTGATCTCTTTGGTAGAAAATGAAGAAAAGTATTTCAATCTTGCCCAAGTAATTCTTCTTTTCTTCTAACCGCATCTCCTCTTGCATCGTAATGAAGTCTTTCTTTACCAAAATATCTATGAATCTGTCCATTTCAACAATATTGTCTTTCAGGATGACCTTTAGACGTCTTAATGCAACTCCACAATCCATTTTTCTGCATCAAAACCATCACATAAGTGAGGAAAGATACTACTAGTAATAATACAAATATGATTCCTTAGCCATTCAATGAGATAACTTTGTTCGAAAAACGTATGCAAAAAAGAAATAATTGCCGAATGCTTTTAGGGGGTCCACTTTTTCCATACCTGAAATATTTAATCGTTGTATTTTAGTATCGTAAGGGTATGAATGGGTCAGATAAATGACATTTCTGTCCCATAAGAGGAAAAGGGAAAGGCATGATCATTTTTAGTGCCTACAGATATTACATCTGGTAAACAGAAGGCAATTCACTCCATCAGATTAACTGATGCTCACCATAAGTCATCAATTCCTGGACGCCCAGATGAGACATCTCTTGGAGGAAAACGAGGCTTGAGTTTCTTCAGATATATTCCACATATTTTGATTCATTGTTAGTTTGACAACTCCCGACAGGAGGGGGGTATCCATAGGCAATCTATATACCACGTACATAATGAACGGCTGATGTCTATTTGGCCAGATTTTGTCCAGTGAACTCCTAGGTTTCTCAACCGATTTTCATAATCGATACCTCATTCGATTTGCAATTTCCTGCAGATGGTCCAACTCATTTTAGATCTTTTTTCTGAGTTGACTTTTTACCTGACCAGGGTGACCATTCCAATTCACATTGAACTCAATTTTCCTGTAATATATCATTCGAAAGGCCTGAATTTCCTCTGTTATAATTCGTTTTTACATCGCAAAACTCTTGACGTTTGATCCTGCTGTGGTCAATCTGAATTAAGAGAGCACTGGCGCCACCTCTGTACAGTCTAGGTAACTGCTACCGTACGGCATCAATTTTCTATGCTTGACATCTAAACAAAGCTCACACTTCTTAGTTGTACTGACAAGGAACACTACCCAAGTGATAATTTCAGATTTTCACCAAACTTTGGTCATTGAAAGGGCTCTCAAAACGAAGTCAAATGGCATCAAAGCATGCGGCTGAGAAACAGCTTTAGTCTTATCACTGGCTCTCTCAATTTTCAGTGATACATGATTATTACAGTCTTGGCCCTATTTTCTTTGACTATGACTTTCCAAGGGAAAGTCTGATTCAGGTGATATTTCACAGAGAGGTTCTTCAGTGAATTAGGCTTTTTTACATGCCGCTAGGTGGTGCTCCATGCCGATAGAGGGCGATGATGTCGACAGCAGCCCCCACCTACCTACTTGCTGTCAGTTTTTTAGCCACTGGAAAATATTTACTGAAGCCTATGAATCTCTCAGCCAATTATCAGCTGCATACGAGAGTTTTTTCAAACGATATGGCCAAGCAAAGTTGGATTTTCACCCAAGATTTGAAATTTGTTTGGTCATACCTTTTTAAGGAAAAGTCATATGCAGCTGATATTTGACGGAGATGTTATTCTGTCTATGACCTATTCGTTCCCTTGCCTGACATATATTTGTACCTATTAACAGAACGCTGGGTGATTGCATATACGAAAGTGCAATGTGAAGGAGCATGAAGGTTGTGCTTACAGAGTTTATTTCTTTGTGATACCCCTAGAAGCACATACCATTGAAATAACATTGATTCAACGCTGATTCAACATCCAGACGATGAGGCAGCGTTGAATCAATGTTGATTCAATGTTATTTCTTAGTAGGGACGTCATCAGAGCACATTAACATGAGACGTAACAGCACTGAAAGTTTCATCTTCTCTTGGTGGGAGTGAAGTGAATGCTAGATGAATTAAATTCCTATTCACCGTCTCTTAGTTTTGCATATTCCACCACAGCGCCTCCTGTCAACATGTAGAGACTTGCGCTGGGTAAGGGAATGAATGTCATCTCTGTATGCAATAACTGCGCCCTCTGTCAATAGGTACAAATATGTGCCGGGCAAGGGAACGAATAGGTCATAGACACAATAACACATCCGTCAAATATCAGCTGCATCTGACCTTTCCTTAAAAAGTTATGACCAAAAAAATTTCAAATGTTAGGTCAAAATCCATCTTTGCTTGGCCATATCTTTTGAAAAAACTTTCGTATGCAGCTGATAATTGGCTGAGAGATTCATAGGCCTGGAGGAATTTTTTCCAGGGACTAAAAAATGGCATAGCAAGTAAATAGGTGGCGTTGCTGTCGACATCATCGCTCTCTATCGGCATGCAGCACCACCTAGAGGCATGTAAAAGAGCTTCATTCACTGAAGAACCTTTTTGTCAAATATCACCTGAATCTGACTTTCTTTGGAAAGTTATAGTCAAATAAAATTGGGCCAATACTATAATAATCATGTATCAATGAAAATTGAGAGCCAGTTATGAGCCTAAACCTATTTCTCAGCCGCAAGTTTTGGTGCCATTTGACTTTGTTTTGAGAGCCCTTTCAATGACCATAGTTTGGTGAAAATCTGAAATCATCATTTGGGTAGTGTTCCTTGTGAGAAGTATTCGTTGAAGTATTGAAGGATTGAGTTGCATCATTCAAGCACTAAGCTCCAGTTCTGATCCAGACAAGGACGTTACTCCGATGGACCATTTGTGGTATAATTGCACAGTTGAACGCACAAAAGTGCGTTCAACTATGATTACTTTCCATTGAGAATATTTTTTTGGCTGATTCCCGCGTGTATGTTTTACCGTCTCCAAAAAACATGAGAGCAATTCTAAGGCTCATTCAGCATCAATGAGACTGGGTGATTGAAATGCTTCAAGAGGGTGTTACACAACAGAAAGTTACGCCCTCTTTGACCCTCTTGGAATGAAATCTCAGGACACTATCTTCAGGGAAGTAGTGATTCTGAAAGTCGTGTTTTGCTAATCATGATGAGGCGACGATTAAATCAAGTATAGCCGACACGAGAACATCTTAATCACCGCGGGAATTCCTGCTATGTTAACTCTTAATTTGTGGGAATCATTTCAATTTCATTTCATTTCCCTCCAGCTGCTTTTTTTTCGGGGGGTGATATTTAAAAAAAAAATTTTGTCATGGCAAATAGGACAGAAATGGAAGGGTGAAACTTGGCACATATAAAAGTGACATGATATTATTGAGTTGAGGGAGTATTCAGCATTCATGGTGCATCCTCTCCTGGCACAGCTATTGGGTGGGTAGGCTTCTTCAAACATGTTTTTTCATCACCGAAAAGGGCAAACAAATAAGGGTTGAAACTTTGTGGGCAGTAGTTCTCTTAGGATTGATTTCGGTAAAAAAAAAAGGTACTTCTTGGTTAAATGCCTCAGGGTACATATATTGCAAAAGGCGTATTTTCTCGATCCAGCGAAACAGAGGGTGCTAGAAAGTTTAAACTTAGCAAAGAAGAACCTTATGGATGCTGCATGAAGAAAAAATTCTACTTTTATTGTATATAGACGATGATGAGCAGCTGCCTGATGAAAGTAGCTATTCATATGCTGAGTTCAGGAAAAATTCTACTTTGGTGATACATGCCAAAAAGCACATCTTTTTGGGGAAAATACTTTCGTGCAGTTCTCTTTGCAAACGGGGACACATGGAAAGGTGAAACTTGGCTAGAACGTGAGTGCTGACGTACTGAGCTCAAATGTCAAATATCAAAATTCCAAAATGTATTTTTTGGGGGGGAAATTTCTTGGGGACAACGTTTTTAAATAAATTTTCAGATCCTAGCGAATCGGCACAAATAGAAAAGTAGCAGCTGGCACGCATAACTGACACGATGTTGATTTAATGAAAAAATCAACATTTTGGTTGTGCGTCTCCTCAAAGCACAGCTTTTGGGTGGGTCCCTCTTTCAATTAAATTTTTTTTTACGCCAGCAAAAAGAAGAAACATATAAATCTGAAACTGGGTTTCATGGAATTCCATGACTCTATATTTCAGAAGGAATAAAATTTCCGCTAAAACCCATCAGGGCACTTTTTTCAGTCCCATTTTCCTGAATATTTTTTGATCCAATGAACCAGACACAAAATTTAAACTTCCCTCAGAAGTACCTATTTGATTGCTGAGTACAGGAAAAATCCTACTTTTGAAATATGCCCCCTTAGCGTAGATTATAGGACGGAAGTATTTCAAATGTATTCTCCACCATTACAAAAAGGGACACATGAAAAGATAACAAGTTTGGCACACTAGAAGTTATAGAAATAATTGTTTTGATAAAAATGAAGTCTTTCGTCCCGATATGTCACGTATTTCAATGGGGACGTACTTAAAATACGTGGTCCCATTTCGCAAAAAATAAATGAATTAATCATTAACCAAAGTAATAGAGCGCCAAAGGTTCGACCATAGCGAGTTTGTTCTATCGCTAGTATGTACAATATATAGACGATCGTGACTAGCTGAGTGACTTACTGACGCTAATTATAATCATGTTTCTAGAAAGGTTAGAAATCTGAAACTTGGTACACAAGTACCTTTTGGGATGCAGAGTTCAGAAAAAATCCGACTTTGGAAGTATATGCCCTGGGGGTACAAAATTTGGGGGGAAACCTTTCTCTTAAATGTACATTGTGACAAATGAGAATGGCATCCAGAGTATCAACAGGATGTCCTGGGTTCGGTGGTGTAGTAGTAGCATATCTCCAGTAAAACAGATGGCGCATGAAAGTTAAAATCTTGGCAAATAAGTACTTAATGGATAGCTGCATGAAGAAAAAATTCTGCTTCTCTAATATATATAGACGATCGTGACTGACGCTAATTCAAAAAGGGTAAACGTATAAGACTGAATCTGGCTGGTATGGAGTTCCCTAAGTTTCCATTTCAGAAGAAAAATTTTTTTTTCGGCAAAACCCAATAGGGCTCTATTTTTAAGTCCAATTTTCCTAATGTTTTTTTGATCCAACGAAACAGAGACAGAAAAGTTAAACTTCCACAAAAGTACCTGTTTAATGGCTGAGTACTGGAAAAATGCTACTTTTGAAATATGTCTCCTTAGGATTATTGGAGGGAAGTATTTCAAAATGGTTTGAAAAAAATTTCAAAACTCCACCCTTACTAAAAAGGACGCAAGAAAAGATTTAAAGTTAGACCCATATAGAATCATAGAAGTAAAGAGTTTGATAAAAATCAAGACTTTCGATCCCATATGTCACGTATTTCAATGGGGACGTACTTTAAGTACGTGGTCCCATTAAGCAAAAAATTAATGAATTAATCACTATTCAAGGTAATGGGGCGTCGAAGGTGCTACTATATGGAGTTTGCTTCTCCAAAGGGCAAACAAACTCGCTAGTACAAGGTATATAGACGATCGTTACTGACTGACGCTGATTCTAACAATGTTCTGGAGAAGTTAGAAATCTGAAATTTGGTACACGTGTACCTGTTTGGATGCAGAGTTCATAAAAATTATGCAACTTTGGAGGTACATGCCCTGGGGATACCCATTTTGAGGGATGATGTTTTCAATTATTTATATTTGCTTCAGTCAAAGTAAAAAAATGTTTTTTCTTTCAGTAGCAACATGAAGACTTGAAAATGAGCATGAACGTTGCTAGTGATTTACTAATTATCGTAAATAATCACTTTGGAGATGTATACCCTGGGGGACACAATTTTCGCGGGGGACGTTTTAAAAAAATTTTTTCAGGGAAATGGATTTTTATATAGTACTAGGATGAAGGAATTAAAACATATTCTTCATTTTTCTCGTACATGCCCCCAGGGCATATACTTTGGTTTTAAATGTTTTTAGAATTGTTTGCCACCATACTAGAGTCTGTTTAGGGAGGAGAATGAGTAAACTCAGAAGCACAATATCGCTCAGAGAAAGCTGGTTCTATAACAAGACTTTAAGTCTTGCTATAGAAGGCGCTGTATTGAGGATAAACTCTAAAGTGACAATTCTGAGGCTATGAAGGATCTTGATTCACGATCATAACATCACATTGAAAATCACTTCGCACAAGCAGCAGTAGATTAAACTCACGATAAAAAAATACTCATGATCCAAGGACTTTTACCCAATTTGTAATTATGAGAGTCGAAAAGGGATACTTCAAATGTGTTATTATAAATAGTTTATGGAGCGAACTGCGCCGAAGGCGCGTTCATAGTGAGTTTGTTTGCCCCAAAGGCGAACAAATTCGTCAGTAATACATAATATGTATATTCATATGTATATACATAATATTAACGAACCTAATAATAAAGATAGGTATTGGCTAAAAAGGCAATTACCTGGCTGGGCAGTAAACATCCGGACATTGAAACAATGTTGAACCAGTGCTTGGTCAATGTTATGTGCTGCTAGGAATATATATTTGGTAATCCTGTAGTTCTACTTGCAGTTCAGTACCTATTCACATGTTTAGCGAAATATAAACCTGGTGTCTTGAATGCCCCATGGGAACATGTATTCTCGGTGACTTTTCAAATGAAATTTTATCCTTAATGCGAATTAGGTTGAAATACAAGCTAAACTTTGGCTAGCGACTTGGGTTTCTAACATCATGAAAAATACGAAGTTTGAGACACATCCCTTACGGGCACATTTTGCGAAGAACTCGTAGATTTCTTATTCGCTCCAGCTCAGCATTAAATGTAAAGAGTTTACATTTCCCGCCGAAGTAGCAATGGGAGAACTACACTAAAAAAAATTATTTTTTGGTTATTTCCTTCAGGCCATGTATTTTGGGGGGGATTGGGAAAAATATTTCTAAAATAAAAGATTTGTCCGAACAAGACATACTAACAAAACAAGGTATGGTCGCAATGGTTTCGTACAATCAGATGTAACTTAAATCCGTAATGAAATGTACATTTGACTCAAGGAATTGGAATGAATTAGTAGGCACGAACGTCTTAAATGGATTGGTGATCTGAGATTATGTTGATACTTAGCACTGAAGGTTCTTCGATAGGGTAATTGTTTGCCCGAAGGGTAAACAAATTCGAGCCGTATCATTATATCTATCAATAATATAAATTTCATTGCAGCTAGATTTGTAGGGTCTGCGCCTATGGCGAAACATATCACTTTAGACTATCAGTTCAAGCAAAACACCTTGGTGCCTGAATTTGAGAATCTCCAAAACTTTTCGTAAAGGTTCAAGAGAGAATATACTCAGGCTGTTCATCCTATTACTCAATGGAGAATCACTTCACGATCATAGTACTTCTCTTCACTCATGGGTACGCAATTTTATGAAGTCATCAACATCACCACTTCAGAATATGTATATTAGTGAAAACTATAGTCAATCATCATCTAGTCTTCTTGGCAACGACTGTGAATCTTGCACTTGAGTGCAGTTGATACAAGTACATTACCAAGGGAGGAGAATGTCCAATGGCACCACCAAATGAGATCCTGGATTAACCCTACTTATGTTCAATTCATGTCTTGAAGAAATCATGGCATCTACCGAGTCTAAATCACATTTGCTGCGCTGATGACAATGAACACTATGATGCACCAGTTTCCATCGAACGCATTACACAACATGAAGTCCATGGTAGACTGAATTCTACCGTAATTCATATCTTTCTTCTGATAAACCTTATCTACGAACAGTCAGACCGAGTTCCTGGGCCATCACGTCGAGAGAGAATGTTACGGGGAAGAGGGGCATCATTCCATGAACTTGCTGCATGCACTTTCCTATCGCCCTATGAACGTGTCCATCACATCCTCAATTCAGACGCGATTGGCGCAAATGAGGTTCTCTGTCTTAGCAATGTTGCAATCGATCACATATGGACCGCCGTAGGACGACCGCCATGGGCATTTTTAGGGATGTTCTTATCAGTCTTATAAAAACGCTCGCGCCGTTGGAATGCAGCGCTTCTACCCCACGCCTGAGGTTTATATGCATGCTTTATGAGGCCCAGGGTCACAGTGCATTCTTTTAAATTCTAGCATTTTCGCGCACCGTTGGTGAACATGCAACGGAACATCTTCCCCTGCCGCCATAATGAACACAACATTGAATCGTATAAATGCAAAATTTCCTGCTTTTTGTTGTTTTCAAATTTTGCCTAAATTTATCATGTCATACCATATATTACATATTAAACATTTAATTAAATAAATGGAGATTAAAATACTAAAGGGTAAAAGAGGGCCTCTGATGGAACTGAGCAATGCATAATTACGCCCATTTTAGCGTAATATGGAGCGCAAAGTCATGAGAATTTTTAGAAGTTGCCATAGACACAATGTAAATGCAATGTCCATTGGAATGGACGCCGTGTCTGAAAGGGTTAACTGATTTTTTGCACTGCAATTTCCATTTCAGAATATTCTTGGGTAGTTTAATCTATTTCTTCCCATAAATTTATCTCCAATGCGTCAGCTGTTTGCAAATGTCATAATCTCAGGACCGCGATTTCATGAATTCCAATGGTTAATGCCAGGTGTATATTTTGTTTTATATTTCATCGTTTCCATTACATTCCCAGTACTTCCTCCCTGACAACCTGGAAAAATGATTTTTTCGCAAAAAAATTTCGATTTGCATCAATATGCATTGATGTCGCTGAACATATTTGTCACAGAAGGGAAATACATTTTCAATACAAATCATTTTTCTCCCAATGTAGCTGTTGCTACTTTGGAAAAAAATTAAGCTAAATCAGGAAGGCTGATATTTAAATTTGCGTAGTGCAGGGAACATGGGTATCATAGGTGCTCTATGTACTGCATATAGGGGAGTGGCAGGTTAATTATGGGAAGAGAGAGCTGATGACCCTCCATCTACACTAGATGGTCGGTCAGCAAGTGCAAATCCCATTTGCCACCTCGTTCTCGCCTCCAACAGAAATCCGGCACTTAAGTGCCTGGGCTGCCTATCGTCCACTACTTTTGTGCCACGGGGGTTCCCTCTTTTTATTATGCAATTTATGAGCAAATTCGAGGAAAGCGAGAAATTATGATGCTATGACGGCTAACTCAAGAAATTATTAAATGCCGAAGTTCAGCACGAGAACACAGAAGTGCACGAGAATCGAGAAGGGTAAATTGCAAGATTCTTGTCGTACGAAATATATTGCGTATTTGACGACGCAGGACTTGAAGAGTCCCGCTCACTCTATCAGGGTTCCTTGCTGCATGCAGAAGAGGAATGTAGGGGGTCATGTGATGCGCAGCATCATCGTTGACCCTTCCAAGTACGTTAAAGCTCAATGCTTTAGACACGAATCTTGTATCTTGGGCATTGAGACCCTTTCCTTCTGGTAGTTCAACATGTAAATCAGTGGTTCCCAAAGTTTCTCGGTCACGACTCAAAATTCAACATCCAAACCCTGGGTCACGACCCAAACATGTGTCGCGACCCAGGGTTTGGGAACCCCTGATCTAAATGCTACCTGATAATGTGCTGACCCTCGAGCCCGGACCCGGAAGTTGTCAGGCCGGTGAAGGAAAGAGGGACATGCGGCAGATGGCCCACAAGTAGTAGTGGTGGTGGGTCACCAGTTCTCTTCCCACGACATATCTCGTGGTTTGTTTGGAGAGCAATCAAACTCCTTAGTTCGTATATGCCATGAAGTCAAGAGGTTTGTTGTTCAGGTAGGTTTTTCATTTTGAAGCATGTGATTTGGGATGCTTGAACTCACATGTCTCAGAAATTCGAAGCGTTCCGAAAATATTTTCCGGAATGCTTTGGGGATGAAACAAGGAATGAAGATGGCAGGATACTAATTGATTTTTATCTCAGGAATAACCTAGCCATCACGAATTTAATTTATCTAGCACGGCGATTCCCACAAATTCACTAGATACAGGTGAAACAATAACAACCAGCCATTTGACGAAGTATTAATAATTGACTATGTTATCACATTAAACAAGAGAATCATCAACAATGCCAAAGTATTACCAGGTGTTTCTTTCGACTCAGATCATATATAATGTTCGCATGCATAAACCTGAGAAGCCAAAAAAGGAAATGACCAGCAAACAGACTCGAATGAAGCTGGAGAACCTGAAAATCAAGAAATTCAAAGAGCGTTCCTTAAAAAAGGCAAGCAGGCAATTGAAGTGAGCACGAAGATAGAGAAAGAATGAAATTCTTCAGAGACAGGCCGACAGAAATAGTCCAAAACATCCTAAGAGTGAAGACGATTGGAGGAACATGGAAACGACTTAAGCCCTGGTGGATGGTAGCTGTGGGAGAAGCAGTCAAGAACAAAACCTGGAAGTTGAGAAAGTGGTTTCGACATAGAGAACACCAGAGTCGAGGTAGCAATACGTAATGGCAAAGCAGGAAAGTTGGAAAAAAAAATTAACCATTCCAAAAACTGTTGAGAAGACCTTGGAAGACAGTTGAAAGAGGATCTGAATGGTATTAAAAGCTTTTGTATGGATTGACGAAATCATACGGAAAGACAAAGAAAACTCTACACGAACATCAAGAATGACAGCAACGAGATGTTCCTAAACCCAGATGACACAAATTTCAAGTGGACAGATTACCTTCAGATGCTCCTAAGGGTGAGAAAGATGTGACCTCAATGGGAGCGAAAGTGTTTAATGGAGAACAAGTTCAAGTAACTACGCCGGAATCGGGGGAGACGCTGGAAAATGGAAAGGAGGACAGGAAATTAAAAACCAATTAATATAATCTTCAACACCACGTGGAATGAAGGGAAATGCCAAATCAATTATTTCAACCTATCCTGCACGTACCATGGCTAACATGTTAGCTCAACGGGATACCGTTTGCGAAAAGTACAGGCACAGAAGGAAGTCCAGCATGAGAAATTTTCTAGCTTGCCCGATGTACTTGAAGCGCGCATAAAGTCCTCGTTCGAGGTGCGACAAGAACACAGGGACGACCGTCAAGGACATCTGGATGACCCTCAAGGACCACAGCATGGCTCTCCTCGACCGACGGACAGCAGCGATTCCAACGAGGCACCCTACAGGAACGCGGAACGAGACGGACTGAAAACCCTTATCGACCAAGCGAATTCCCCTTTCCCCGGGGGCGATGAGAAAATACTGTATATATAAGGGACGCATGACCTTGCCTTCCATCTCCACATTTCAGACTCGGCCTGATTTAATGAGCAGAGGAAGCTTTTTTCCTTATTTCTCCCGTTTCTTATCGACAGTCACTTCCACTCTTTCGTGCCGTTTCGTAGCTCCAGGCTGAGGTTGAAGGTGTCATCATTCGATTTGCGTTTCTTGGAATGAGCTGGGAATTCCCACGAATTTGGAATGTCATTTTCGTGCTAATTTTCGCTTTTTGGAGGAATCGGGAAAAGTGTCGAAAACTTCCGTACTTCCAAGATTTTGGGCGACATGCACCAAATGAGGAATCTGATTAGCTGAAAGACGTAGTTCAAGTATAGATAAAACATGTTTAATAATGTGTTTATCTTTGACATGCACCATCGAAAATCAGATTAGTTTCCATGAACCCTTTATCCACTATTTAAAGACGTTGCAAGGCGATGAGGTTGCACTCAGAAAGAGAATGATGCCGAAGGTAATTTAGGGGAATATGGCCCTAACAAATGAAACCTGGTCTTAACTGCCCATCAATGT